TTCGCGGGTCGGGTCGCGATTGTCGGATTTCAGACGATTGTCGGCAAACATGCAGGTCTATGTATCTTTTTTTAAAAATCAATAATCTCCCCCCATTCCTGAGTCCCGTACTTCACAGCACTCAGAACGCGCGCAGGTCCATTGACCGGTCACAATGACGAGCCCGACAAGACACTTGTATAACTTTCTTTTCTTTTCTTCTTTTGGCCCTCACAAACGACAGCACAGTGACGAACGTTACTTTCATGGCGACAGCACAGTGACGAACGTTATTTTCAAAGCGACAGCACAGTGACGAACGTTATTTTCAAGGCGACAGCACAGTGACGAACGTTATTTTCAAGGCGACAGCACAGTGACGAACGTTATTTTCATGGCGACACCACGTTTGTAATGCAGAACCTGCATGTTACAAATGTTGCGTATTCAGACTTCTATACAGACAAATTTCTGAGATCTTGATTTTCCGGTCGAGCCTCAATGTCACATACAATTCTGCTTGCCGCCATTGCCGCCTGTTCGCATGAAACGTACTCTCACACCGGGAAAAGCTGAATTAATATCACAATCGCGACCGGCAAAAATGAACTTTAAAGACGTTATCGGATTTGGTTTTCAAATAATATTCGAGATCTTTTATGTATTTTCCCCGAGTCTCAGCGATTCTTTTCAAACTCCCAGTAATTCCAGAGGCCTGGAAGTCACCCTGCTTCCAGCAACCCTCTTTCTGATTGACCAGCTGTCGCGGTAGCGGCATTTAGCGGAGGAAATGGCGGTAGCGGAAATCCGCTAAATAGCGGAATATTGAGACCCATGTTTTTTAATGAGGGAAGGAAAAAGAAAAAAAAAATGAAAATAATAAACGGTGGCAGTGAAGGTAAAAAATGTTTCTAGAGACCCGTACCCTGTGCGCTTCTTTGATCCTCATTCTTTCCGCTTGTCGGTCCAACTTGTCCTGCTCTTGCAGTCTCTGTTTGGCATTCTCAATGTTCAGGCCATGAACATCCTCAAAGTCATCTTGCTCCTCAACCTGAAATGGACGAAAGTCTTTATGAAACACAAAACTATTACCATGAGTCTACAACATCTTAAAATTTATACCCTAACAAATGTTAGTTTTTGGTAACACCTTATTTTTTTTTTCCCGTGGTCTAGACTTTGTGTCCTTAGGACAGGTACTTTATACAAACTTTCCTCACTTCACCCAGGCAGGTGGGAATGGGTACACGGCTATAGACAGCAAAAGATACTGTTAGATTTTTAGTGTTTGAGCGCTTAATCACATGCTCGCACTGCATGCTTCCTAAGTAGCTGCAAATATTTCTGAGTGTTCTATGGTCTATTGGGGTAATAACAGTCGTAAAGCGTATAGAGCTTGCTGTTGAGTGTGGACGTGCTGTATTAATGCTATTTATTAATATTACTATTTTCATCATTATCATTATTATTTATAATTAACCCTATCCGTAAGCCCTGGGGTCATTTTGTACCCCCAGGGTTGTATTCTTCCTATTTTAGAATACTTCTAGTACGAAGATCTCTTTGAAACTTTCAGTATTTCTCAAAAAATCATTTTAGACCGCTATGCAAAGCGTACGGATCAGATTAACGAGTAAATCTCCTCTTTGGAAAGTGGAGGCACAGAGTTCCCCATGTAAAATGGGTACAACAGTAAAACACGACGTATGGATAGGGTTACTATCCTTATCATGGTATAGCTTTGTGGAGGAAAATCTTACAGTGGGGTTCTCGTCCTCGTCAAACACCGTCCTCTTGGCATGCCTCAGGAGCCTCAGTTGTTCCCTCGCTTTAGATTTCTTTTTTCTGGACGTGCTCTCCTCGATGACTGGCAGCTGTCGACGGACACACACACACACAATGAAGAAATAACACAACAGGAAAACTGACAATTTCATAACACAATTGCAGCAACGTTACATCAGATGGCTAGACCGGCGGGGTGAAAGTGTAACTTACACTGTCACTTTTTTTTAAATTAAGAAAAAATCTTAGCATTACTAAAAAGAAAAGAAAAGAAGAACTGAGAAACGTTGAACTAAGATCTTAGTATCACTAAAAAGAAAAGAAGAACAGAGAAACGTTGAACTAAGATCTTAGTACCACTAAAAAGAAAAGAAAAGAAGAACGGAGAAACGTTGAACTAAGATCTTAGTACCACTAAAAAGAAAAGAAAAGAAGAACGGAGAAACGTTGAACTAAGATCTTAGTACCACTAAAAAGAAAAGAAAA